GTGAAATACTAACAAGCATTCCATTGTTCTAGACTAAGATTTGAAAGCTTTGTTTACTCAAATTACTGACAATATACTTTAATCATTTAAAAAATGTGTATCAACAAAAATGTATACATATCTCTTTTGATATTCAAAATTAAATTTCTTTATTACAGATCATATAAATATTCAATCATATAAAAACAGCTACCTTTATTATCTAAACATGGCTTTCAATCTGATTATATTTGGCTCCTACATTTATGCTATAGCAAAAAAAAATCAGTTTGGCAAAATTTTTGGCACAAATTTTGAAAGCAAGTGTGATCCCTGATTTTTTTTAACAAATATGTTTAAATATGCATGTAATTTTAGAATTATCTAGCATCAATATTATTGAATATACCAGACATATTAACATTCAATACACCAGACAAGTTAACATGGAATACACCAGACACAGAATGACTAGGACCTAGTGGTGTGTCACAGTTACAATTGTAACCTACATCAGACAGTAAACAAATCTTCGTTATAAGCCCACCCACATCTATTGAAGTGTATAAAAATTAAGAATAGCTTAAATTTCAGACCAGACCCTTAATATATCTTGACTATAAGGAATTCCCCTTTTGTCAAGCAGTATATATGGTAGGCCAGCACACCAGACAATTTCCATTTCTTACTTCTATAAAACTATCTCTTTTCTCTATTATGTAAGCCCATCTCCTTACCTTGAACGACAAGCTATGTACTAGAGTGGGTCACTGGGATTACTAAATATGATCAATCATTACATTATAGATATGATATAAACAGGGCAATCACAACAACATACATAACTTATCTCCATTTTATTATCCAGGTAAATTAATCAGAATGGAAAGACAAAGAAGTAAATAAGAGAATCTGTATGTGGTATTGATGGTACCTTGTATATATATATATATCTAATGTATATCTAGATAGACTGTAAGAGTTGGGTGTCACTTGTTAAGAACGAGTTATGTTCTCTTGGTATGTATGACCAGTGGTTAAACAGGAGTCTGTTAATATAAAATCTTTTTGAGCTGAATGTCTGATCAACTCCAACAGGATATGATGAGTCGTTTCAATTCGTCCTCCAAATATGTATTGTATAAACATTTGGTTGACAAAGTCTCACTACAACTGTACCTGTGTAAGCCTATTCCTGTTAAGTATAAGAAAATACGTTTGTCTGCTCATTGTTTAAATGTAGAAACAGGAAGGTATACAAATATTCCTGTGGAACAGCGCACTTGCAAACTTTGTAATTCCGACATTGAGGATGAATTCCATTTTGTACTTTAATGTCCTTTCTATAACAATTTGCGTTGTAAATATATTAAATCATACTATTGGAGTAATCCCTCCATTTTCAAATTAGTAGATTTACTTAAAACTCCTAATGTAAAAGACTTCTGTAACTTGGGAAAGTATTTGTATCATGCTCTCAAACTGAGATCTAGTCTATTAATTATAGAAACAATCTCTCTCTCTCTCTCTCTCTCTCTCCCTCCCTCCCTCCCTCCCTCTCCCTCTCCCTCTCTCTCTCTCTCTCTCTCTCTATTGTATACGATACATGTTGTATATTTATGTATTAGAATCTATAAGCTGTATTGCTTCAGATCAATAAAGAATAGTATATATCACTATAAAATAACAAGGATACCCTCAATACTTACCAGTAACATATTCATCATCTACTTTAGATATATACAGGTGAATAAACAGTGTTGTAATCATTTCAATTCAATTACTGCAAAGTAGTAGAAATGTAATATGGTATCGTTAAATTATTATACAAATATGTTCCATTTCTTTTTGTTTATTTTTGTCAAGGGAGGAGGGGAGGGGTTTCAGCAAACAAGTCTGCAGCAGGAACACTGTGTCAATTTAGCATCCACAACATTCAAAACTATGTGTACGCTGAAATTTTTTTAAACCTCTATTACTTCTTCAGAAAGTTTATTTATCATCAAATTGAAACAATTACTGCTTATATTCCAGGGTGGGGAAACTTGCCAAAACTCAGCTGAAATCAAGCAAAATACTAGAATATACAATTGCATTATTTTGAAAAACAACACATCCACTGTAAACTAAGCAGAGTTATTCCCCTTCTTCAATGTCAGAATTAAATACCTTCGTATATCCTTCAAGTACACTACTAGATTTGTCCATGTTAGAAAGTATCAGCATGATCCAAAATAATTTCTATTTTTAGTAACTATGTACTAATCCACTTTGTTCATCATAGATATGCAGAACACCTTGTGGCTATATAAAGCAATTAGCCCAGGTAAAGAAAGCTTTCTAATATCATAAGTTGGGACACTCATACTGCATCCTTATAAACTGTGTGTCAGTGGTATTATGTGAGGTACCTGGACTGTGACAGAGTTTATCCCTGGTATGTCAGACTTGTAATACAGGGTAATATCATGTTATATCTCAATATAAACTGTGTGGCAGTGTTGTCATGTGTAGCTTAGACTATGAGAAGGTTTAAACGTGATATGTCAGACTTGTAATACAGGGTAATATCATGTTATATCTCAATATAAACTGTGTGGCAGTGTTGTCATGTGTAGCTTAGACTATGAGAAGGTTTAAACGTGATATGTCAGACTTGTAATACAGGGTAATATCATGTTATATCTCAATATAATGTTATATCTCAATATAAACTGTGTGGCAGTGTTGTCATGTGTAGCTTAGACTATGAGAAGGTTTAAACGTGATATGTCAGACTTGTAATACAGGGTAATATCATGTTATATCTCAATATAAACTGTGTGGCAGTGTTGTCATGTGTAGCTTAGACTATGAGAAGGTTTAAACATGATATGTCAGACTTGTTATACAGGGTAATATCATGTTATATCTCAATATAAACTGTGTGGCAGTGTTGTCATGTGTAGCTTAGACTATGAGAAGGTTTAAACATGATATGTCAGACTTGTTATACAGGGTAATATCATGTTATATCTCAATATAAACTGTGTGGCAGTGTTGTCATGTGTAGCTTAGACTATGAGAAGGTTTAAACGTGATATGTCAGACTTGTAATACAGGGTAATATCATGTTATATCTCAATATAAACTGTGTGGCAGTGTTGTCATGTGTAGCTTAGACTATAAGAAGGTTTAAACGTGATATGTCAGACTTGTAATACAGGGTAATATCATGTTATATCTCAATATAAACTGTGTGGCAGTGTTGTCATGTGTAGCTTAGACTATGAGAAGGTTTAAACGTGATATGTCAGACTTGTAATACAGGGTAATATCATGTTATATCTCAATATAAACTGTGTGGCAGTGTTGTCATGTGTAGCTTAGACTATGAGAAGGTTTAAACGTGATATGTCAGACTTGTAATACAGGGTAATATCATGTTATATCTCAATATAAACTGTGTGGCAGTGTTGTCATGTGTAGCTTAGACTATGAGAAGGTTTAAACGTGATATGTCAGACTTGTTATACAGGGTAATATCATGTTATATCTCAATATAAACTGTGTGGCAGTGTTGTCATGTGTAGCTTAGACTATGAGAAGGTTTAAACGTGATATGTCAGACTTGTTATACAGGGTAATATCATGTTATATCTCAATATAAACTGTGTGGCATCATGTGTCAATATAAACTGTGTGGTAATATCATGTTATATCTCAATATAAACTGTGTGGCAGTGTTGTCATGTGTAGCTTAGACTATGAGAAGGTTTAAACGTGATATGTCAGACTTGTTATACAGGGTAATATCATGTTATATCTCAATATAAAATATAAACTGTGTGGCAGTGTTGTCATGTTATATCTCAATATAAACTGTGTAGCATGTGTAGACTATGAGAAGGTTTAAACGTGATATGTCAGACTTGTAATACAGGGTAATATCATGTTATATCTCAATATAAACTGTGTGGCAGTGTTGTCATGTGTAGCTTAGACTATGAGAAGGTTTAAACTATGAGAAGGTGATATGTCAGACTTGTTATACAGGGTAATATCATGTTATATCTCAATATAAACTGTGTGGCAGTGTTGTCATGTGTAGCTTAGACTATGAGAAGGTTTAAACGTGATATGTCAGACTTGTAATACAGGGTAATATCATGTTATATCTCAATATAAACTGTGTGGCAGTGTTGTCATGTGTAGCTTAGACTATGAGAAGGTTTAAACGTGATATGTCAGACTTGTAATACAGGGTAATATCATGTTATATCTCAATATAAACTGTGTGGCAGTGTTGTCATGTGTAGCTTAGACTATGAGAAGGTTTAAACATGATATGTCAGACTTGTAATACAGGGTAATATCTGATGTGCTTTACATATATTTTGTTTTAGTTTTAAATCTGCCACAATTTCATTAATATCAAGTTTGCAGTGACAGACATACTGCCAGCACAGAATAACATCTTGTCGAGGGAACAGCTGTGTAGGGCTGTACGTGTAATGTTTCTGTCATTAGACAATAACTGAATATTCTTGTATCTTGTAATAATATCAAACAGTCAAACCCTGACAGTTTTGTGTAGTTAGTAGAATCGGAATAATCTACCAAAACAGCGCTAACAATGTACGATCATCACAGACTTAACATCAAACAGTCCAATCATAACAGAATTTTTAAGTCTGTTAAATAGAAATCAGAAAACAATACTAGCCAATGTGTGATTATCACAGAAACTCTGGGTACAAGAATGATCCATCAGTTCAGTCAGCCTTGTTCTAGTAACCACTTGTGTAGACACCTTCTGTCTATTATGTCAGTTTTGTAACAGTCCCAAACATTTTACTATTTTACAAAATAACATCCAGCAGTTTTTGCAAAATTTATTCATATAAGTCCAGCACACCATTTCAGAGAGATGGGAAATTTGGATGATTCCAACAGACAAAGTTTTAGTCCAGGACTCCTACATCGGAGTTCCAAGAACCACTGACATCATTATCTACTTTACCAGTACAAAGTAAACTTACCTTGAAAGCTCTTGTCAGCGTCTGTGTTATCGTAATTCATGGTGGCACACAGTGGTCAGCTTTACACAATCAAAGGTTGTAGATTTCCAAGTCTTAGAACTAGATCCTCACACATCAAAACATTTCTGACTCATAATAAACAACCTTCCCTTCTCACAACCTTTATTGATCCATCTGGAGGTAAAAGAAAAAATGTATTTATTGTTTAATCCCAGAAGTGATGAAGAAAGTTTTAGAAAACAGTAAAATCAATTCAAATTTCAATACATCACTAAAATTCTTAATAGTTCAAAAAATCTGCATGGCAACCATACTATGTACATCAATAGAACTATAAATCCTAAAAAGTAAATGCACATTCAGTTCTTTCTAACTTCTTTTAAGGAACTCTTTATTCTTTGCTTTCTAAGTCACCACTGAAAAGGCTAAAAGCCAATTTTGGACGTTGCCATGGTTTGATCGTCTTGGGAACTACGTTACAGGTAAGTATGAGACTGAGAAACTCAAATTTCAACAAGACATATTACTTTCCCCACCACAATTTTTTTTTCACTGAAAATTTGCTATTCAAAATGCATTTAAAACTTTACCCCCTGAATGTTAGAGGTTTACGTGGAGAGAAATTTATGGAAGACTTTTTAAAATTTGCAAAAATGCGTATTCAGAGCGATATCACCAGATGATAAATGGACTTGCCTATGGCTTCTACTTTCGAATGTTACAAGACTAATTTCAAACCATAATACCCAATATTTAGGCTTAAAATCACATTGATAAATAAGATATACACATTGTATATAAAATGCAGAACACTGTTTAGTTTTACCAAATAACATAAAAGCAGGTCCATTTTAGTGTTAGTGTATGGACGGATAAAGTGGTCTGGGGAGGACGCTAGGGAGGGGTCGAGGGTGAGGGTCTGAGGGGGTGGGGGTGGGGAGGTGAACCAGTGACAATGGGGAAACGCCCACATGTAGAGCATTGGTGAATGTCAGAATGGCTATACCTCTTAGTTCCAGGAATTCATAACACAGTCGGATGATTATTACCTAATGCATGACGTCGTGAAGATATTGGATTAAAATATGGCCCGAAAATGTAATTGTAGTGATGAACATACATACCGAATATCCCCTATAAAAATCCAGGCACAACTTTTCACCAAGTTTATGATGTATTTTATCCAACAAACGATATTAAACCCATACGCACACTAAAGTTGCAGTTACATTTCCTATTGTTATTTGATAAATGTACTGCTATTCCATTTTTTTAATTTATAACTTCAATAAATGAATGCATACCTCCGCTCACGTTCCTCAGATATTGCAGGTTCGCTGACCGGATATTATTGTGGGCAGACTAATTGTTAACATGGCCTAACGGAGAAATTTCCGGAACAGGAATTTTCTTTATATTTAAAAATGCGTGCTTTTTTTTAGTTTTTGGAATATCTACGTTTTTTTGTGAATGATATCGAGAAAACAAATTATCAAAACTAAAATATCAGTTTTTTTTCAGTTAATCAGGAATCAATTCAGTGTTGGATATAATCATTTTCATGTAATCCAATGTAGGCTTAGTCAGAAAAGCATGCCATCTTTCATGTCAATCATTTGCCAAACGATGTAAAACCAGATAATACATGGTCTATATGGAGGTGATACATGGTCTATATGGAGGTGATACAAGGTCTATATGGTGATACATGGTCTATATGGAGATGATACAAGGTCTATATGGAGATGATACAAGGTCTATATGGAGGTGATACATGGTCTATATGGAGGTGATACAAGGTCTACATGGAGGTGATACATGGTCTATATGGAGATGATACATGGTCTATATGGAGATGATACATGGTCTATATAGAGGTGATACAAGGTCTACATGGAGGTGATACATGGTCTATATAGAGGTGATACATGGTCTACATGGAGGTGATACAAGGTCTATATGGAGGTGATACAAGGTCTATATGGTGATACATGGTCTATATAGAGGTGATACATGGTCTACATGGTCTATATAGAGGTGATACATGGTGTATATGGAGGTGATACATGGTCTATATGGAGGTGATACATGGTGTATATGGAGGTGATATATGGTCTATATGGAGGTGATACATGGTCTACATGGAGGTGATACATGGTCTATATGGAGGTGATACCAGGTCTATATGGAGGTGATACAAGGTGTATATGGAGGTGATACATGGTCTATATGGAGGTGATACATGGTCTATATGGAGGTGATACAAGGTCTATATGGAGGTGATACATGGAGGTGATACAGGGCCTATATGGAGGTGATACATGGTCTATATGGAGGTGATACATGGTCTATATGGAGGTGATTACCAGGTCTATATGGAGGTGATACAAGGTCTATATGGAGGTGATACAAGGTCTATATGGAGGTGATACAAGGTCTATATGGAGGTGATACATGGTCTATATGGAGGTGATACATGGTCTATATGGAGGTGATACAAGGTCTATATGGAGGTGATACATGGTCTATATGGAGGTGATACAAGGTCTATATAGAGGTGATACATGGTCTATATGGAGGTGATACATGGTCTATATGGAGGTGATACATGGTCTATATGGAGGTGATACATGGTCTATATGGAGGTGATACATGGTCATTTGATCTACCTGTAAAGATAGATTGATTTGGTATAAACATCTCCTGATCTACCTGTTTATATTCAACACTTAACATTTAACTATATCAAATTGTTGAAATGAAAATTGAAGTTGATAAACTTCAGTTATTATTTATAAAAGACAAAACAACAATTGACATAAAAGTAACATATTTTTTATTAACATCAAGATGTTTCCTGCTCTGTGTTACACAGCACTGGGCGTAGGGCTGACATCGTAATGAGAATGGCTTCCTGAAAATATAAACAACAAATTTAGTCACTGATACTGTTTTGTATGCAAAGATAATCATTTTTTTTCATATATAAACAAGAGATCCCAGAGGGATCTTGGCGCCCACCATTTGAGGATCTGTTTTCAGTTCTTGAAGATTTCTTTTTGTGTTACAGGTGTTGTGAATGATCATGAACTGGTCTTCATTGATTGTTCTCAAATATCATTTGAAAAAGATCCCAAAGTATTATTAGATAGCAGTCAGTAACAGGTGGATAATGGACATGGTCTTGAATCAATATGATAGAATATCAAAGAAAATATGCTTGTGCTGTATTACTGTCGACATCCAAGATGGCTGCCTGTGGGCCAACTTGATTTCAAATCAGTCCAAAAAAGGTACAATGCACAACTAGGGACCAAGGGGAACCTGCATATGAAATTTGAGAAAGATCCATCCAGTACTTTCCCAGAAATAGCTGTGATCCATCCAGTACTTTCCCAGAAATAGCGGTAACAAACTTTTCCTTCCAAAATCCAAGATGGCCACCTGTCAGCCATCTTGAATTCAAATCAGTCCAAAAAAAGGTACCATGCACAACTAGGGACCAAGGGGAAACTGCATATGAAATTTGAGAAAGATCCATCCAGTACTTTCCCAGAAATAGCGGTAACAAGAATTGTTTACGGACAGACGGACCACGGACGCAGGGCGATTTGAATACCCCACCATCTGATGATGGTATTATTAGATAGCAGTCAGTTACAGGTGGATAATGGACATGGTCTTGAATCAATATGATAGAATATCAAAGAAAATATGCTTGTGCTGTATTACTGTCGACATCCAAGATGGCTGCCTGTGGGCCAACTTGATTTCAAATCAGTCCAAAAAAAGTACAATGCACAACTAGGGACCAAGGGAAACCAATACCTATGAAATATCAGAAGTATCCATCCAGTACTTCCTCAGAAATAGCGGTACCAAGATTTTACTCTCAAAATCCAAGATGGCTGCCTGTCAGCCATCTTGAATTCAAATCAATCCAAAAAAGGTACAGTGCACAACTAGGGACCAAGGGGAACCTGCATATGAAATTTGAGAAAGATCCATCCAGTACTTTCCAAGAAATAGCAATAACAAACTTTTACTTCCAAAATCCAAGATGGCCGTCTGTCAGCCATCCTGAATTCAAATCAGTCCAAAGAAGGTACAATGCACAACTAGGGACCAAGGGGAACCTGCATATGAAATTTGAGACACATCCATCCAGTACTTTCCCAGAAATAGCGGTAACAAGAATTGTTTACGGACGGACCACGGACGCAGGGTGATTTGAATACCCCACCATCTGATGATGGTGGGCTAAAAATCTACTTCTTTTCTTTTAATTATGTTAAATAATATATACTCACAGCTTGTTACCAACCTGACATGTTTAAATAACTTGGTTAGGTTTCATATTGTTTAATATTCTATCAACAGCTATGATAATTTAAGGACGGCCTCCTGGTGTATGTGAGGTGAATGCATTTTGTGAGCACATGTGTTTTTGGAGGCTGTGATATGTTTATGAAGCCACCTCCTCGTCACACTATATTGCCAAACCAGTCATTACACTTCCATAATACTGAACATTATGCAGGAAGTTGTGACTACCAATTTTAAAGACTTGGGTATGTCTTAGAATGGGGTCAGAACCCAAAGCCTTTGAAATTTTGAAAAAATTCCAGATGTTTAAAAAGATTCCAAATTTTGTTGCCTGTTTTGGTCATTCCCTAGGAGCAGCAGGTACGATTCATGTCCCCTACCTGCAGGACATTGCTTGAATACATATGTAATGTAGATGTTCATGATATACATTCTGATGTTACATCACCAAGGTCTTATCCAAGTAAATTTAACACCAATAAATAGTAATTTCAAATGAATTTTTCTGTTTATTATCACAGTGAATTGTGTGATATTGACAGTAAGTTAACTATTCATTGAACAATAAGATTGAGGACATCAATCTGTTTAGTGAAGCAATGATATTTTCAGTGCGATGATACAGGAAATTAAATAATGTTGTGGTATTGAAAATAAGCAGTAAATTATGATAATAAATCTTTTGTGTATATAAAATGTAATTCAGAAAATTTCAATTGAAAGAATCCCGATGACCATAATTTCCTCACCTCCGTACGAATGGTCCCACTGCCCTGTTGGGGACATGTGTTTATGTAATGTTGGAATAAAGCACTAGGATCGTCCTCCTCCAATGCTTCGTCAGCTTCCAAACTACACTCCAGTCCCTTCACACCACCAAACACCACCAGAGCATGTCTACAATTAACCATAGTAATGTCAGAATGCTGTTGTCTCATTACTAATCAAGGGAAATAACTCTGTAAATTTGGACATGAGAGGGTATCAAGTAATAAACCAAAGTATTGTAAGAAACCTGATACATGGTAACTGAATAAAGGGACATAACTCTGTATGGTGGGGCATTTGAATGTGTCTACAATACACTAAATTATTGAGATTTGAGAGCATGTCTATAATATGAAGCTACATCCTCTGATACAATTTGGAACACAATGAAGGGCAATAACTCTGCACATTAGATAATCAAACCTGATAATAGAAAATAATATAACACAATTCAGATTGAGATCTCTTTACCTGGGAAATATCATTTTCTCTTTCCCAGTACACTACATACCTGTATTTTGTCTTCTCCATTTTGTCCACACAGTCACCTTTCTCAGATGTACCAATGGTCATATCATATCCATCCTTATAAGGACATTCTGTGAATACAGCCCCGATAGAACTAGCCAGTCGTACCTGGTATCCCCAGTATAACCCCCCCTCCACCTTCGGCAGAGATGGTGTGACTACCTTCCCTTTAAAGTTCTTTTTCTCTGGAAGATAAACAGCAAGATAATTAACAATCATTGATTTCTGGAAAGAATAAAGACTTCTCCAGTAAAAACATTTATCCCACCCTAGGACTAAAGGCTTTCTTTAGAGCTATTCCAATAAAACATCTTCCCAAAGACTTCAGGTTTTGTAAAAGGCTATTCCAGTAAAACATCTGCCCCATCTCAGGACTCCAGGTTCAGAGGTACAACATGTTGAGATAATTTGATAACTTGAACAGAATACACAGGAAATGAACCATTGTTTTTGAGTCCTGTGTGAAGTGGATGTTTTCCTGGGATAGCGTTACGTTCTCTATACAGTACCACAACTTACTTATAATTTAGTCAGGTAGCTTATCCCTATCACAGGAGTTAAGATAATATGTCTGTCTTTGTCTGTCATTGTATTTGTCACTGGAGACAACATTAAGCAATGGATACACCTGTACAAATTATCCATTTACTTTGTCTCTGGCTTGAAATTACTGTGACTGGAGTTCTCAACCCTAGGGGGAAGGTTATTTAGTGGCAAACATCTGGTGAGTCTCATATTTGCTAATCTACCAAGACTTACCATCAATCTCACACTACATATTTCAATCTACCAAGACTTACCATCAATCTCACACTACATATTTGCTAATCTACCAAGACTTACCATCAATCTCACACTACATATTTCAATCTACCAAGACTTACCATCAATCTCACACTACATATTTCAATCTACCAAGACTTACCATCAATCTCACACTACATATTTCAATCTACCAAGACTTAGCTGTCTCTAATTCAGCCAGTTTTACTGTCACTCTTACATCTAATATTTCAATCTACCAACACTTACCTGTCTCTAATTCAGCCAGTTTTACTGTCACTCTTACACCAGGTTGTAGTTGTTTGTCAATCTGAACCTCCTATCATTTGGATAGAATAAAAAACATCTGAGTTTTAGTATTACATACAACTTTGTTTGTCAATTTACCATTTTTTAAATGCTTTTCTTGCAATTCATAAACTTGATTATTTGAAAGTATTTATAATGCTAACTCTTCATACTCGAGACACACTGAGGCTTGCATCAGGTGTATTTATAGCATTCATATTAAAGATTTAATTAAATATGAATTGATGTATAGAAGAAGCATTGTGTATAGTTTTCTGTTGTGTTCATTATTTAGGATTCTGGTAGTATATGTATCTACGGCTAACATCATCAATAATGGCGTGAATCCACCAGGTCTCTGAAAAGAGTTTGTAGGAGAGCGAGAAATATAGTTTTCAAACTAAAATAACAGGAAGACAAAGTGGGGGCACCATGCTGGTAGCTTTTCTCCTGTGATGTTTTTATCTTCATTGGTTTCAGAACACTCTAAATTCACAAATTCATGATCATAAATTAAACTTTGGAGAAGATTTGTTGACCTATATTTATCCACAATCTCAAGCATTCATGATATTGTGATTTTTGGGAAAAAAACGTGAAAAATGGACCCCACAAAAATATCATTATGATTCTATGGACCCCACAAAAATATCATTATAATTCTATGGACCCCACAAAAATATCATTATAATTCTATGGACCCCACAAAAATATCATTATGATTCTATGGACCCCACAAAAATATCCTTATGATTCTATGGACCCCATAAAATTTCACTATGACTCTATGGACCCCACAAAAATATCATTATGATTCTATGGACCCCATAAAATTTCATTATGATTCTATGGACCCCATAAAAATATCATTATGACTCTATGGACACCATAAAACTATCATTATGATTCTATGGACCCCATAAAAATATCATTATGATTCTATGGACCCACAAAAATATCATTAAAATATCATTATGACTCTATGGACCCCACAAAAATATCATTATGATCCTATGGACCCCATCAAAATATCACTATGACTCTATGGACCCCACAAAAATATCATTATGACTCTATGGACCCCATAAAAATATCATTATGATTCTATGGACCCCATAAAATATCATTATGATTCTATGGACCCCATAAAAATATCATTATGATTCTATGGACCCACAAAAATATCATTAAAATATCATTATGACTCTATGGACCCCACAAAAATATCATTATGATTCTATGGACCCCATAAAATTTCATTATGATTCTATGGACCCCATAAAAATATCATTATGACTCTATGGACCCCATAAAACTATCATTATGATTCTATGGACCCCATAAAAATATCATTATGATTCTATGGACCCACAAAAATATCATTAAAATATCATTATGACTCTATGGACCCCACAAAAATATCATTATGATTCTATGGACCCCATAAAAATATCATGGACCCCATAAAAATATCATTATGACTCTATGGACCCCATAAAACTATCATTATGATTCTATGGACCCCATAAAAATATCATTATGATTCTATGGACCCACAAAAATATCATTAAAATATCATTATGACTCTATGGACCCCACAAAAATATCATTATGATCCTATGGACCCCATCAAAATATCACTATGACTCTATGGACCCCACAAAAATATCATTATGACTCTATGGACCCCATAAAAATATCATTATGATTCTATGAACCCCATAAAACTATCATTATGATTCTATGGACCCCATAAAAATATCATTATGATTCTATGGACCCACAAAAATATCATTAAAATATCATTATGACTCTATGGACCCCACAAAAATATCATTATGATTCTATGGACCCCATAAAATTTCATTATGACTCTATGGACCCCATAAAAATATCATTATGATTCTATGGACCCCATAAAAATATCATTATGATTCTATGGACCCCATAAAAATATCATGATTCTATGGACCCACAAAAATATCATTATGACTCTATGGGCCCCACAAAAATATCATGATGATTCTATGGACCCCATAAAAATATAATACTGATTCCTAACTACCGGGGTATTTCTGCAATAGTTAATTCCCATAAATCTGAGATGGTCAAATTATAAACAAAACAATGCTAATTCCTACCTTCAGAAGACCCACATTCACATAGGAACCTTTTCCTTGAGCGACTGGCTTATCCAAAACAACCCCTTCCCGATAATAACACTTTTGGTCTGCTCTCATGTGATGTGGGGAATCTAGAGGATTCAGCAAGCCTGCAAAGAAAACCAAACTGTGTAAAAATATTGTCAACTTCATAGGATCTCCATGGAACTCTGAAGCTAAGAATCAATCTCCAATAATATGTTGAACTGAATTAATATTGTGTTAAGTAACATAACAGTACACAGAGGACAGCAGGTTTGTCAGCTAATCACAACTCAATGAATGTATAAAACAGTAAATCACAGTGTGAGATAATCATTGTGGTAAACCAAGATGTCCTGTCCAGACAGATGGATGGGAGGAAAAATGAAATGATGGATAGATGGATAGACAGACAGAAATGTAACATTATCTCCACTAACATGACTTGGCAATCTCAACATGAAAGTGAAAGTTATGCAGATATAATATTTATGTTATTGTATAAATACTTTGTCTCTGTCTTAATAAGAGCCTCCTGGCTTTTTTTCCCTGTGAAGGGGATACAACATGTTGAAGTGTGAATGGGATTTTACAAAGTTGTGTTAATCCCAACTTACCAGCATATTGAAGATCCTTATGTTGAGGAAAGAAGGATTTCCGTAGGTACTGTGGACACTCGAGGTACTGTAGAATTCTAGCCAGCTGGACATTGGCCTGCCCTTTCTTACCAATCCCATCATACTGACCTTCAACTGACCTGTACAGTTCAACTGATTAGTCAGATTATACTGTCTAATTAAACATCATTTATGTATATCTATATGTAAGAATTACGTATACATCTTTTCTTTGGGAAAATGAACTCCAGACAGTTTTTACTGAGTTTATTTGATTTTACAGACATTGTCATATCTTTGAAAATCATCTTTACAGTCTCCAAAATAAATAGAGTAATCTCCCTTATCCTTATATTTAATATCAGAATACCTATTAGTGGATCCAGTCTCATCAAAAATCACAACTTCATCCACATTAAATATGACAGCAGATCTACCAATCTGTAAAGAAAAGGACACTGATTACAGCAGATCTACCAATCTATAAAGAAAAGAACATTGATTACAGCAGATCTACCAATCTATAAAGAAAAGGACACTGATTACAGCAGTTCTACCAATCTGTAAAGAAAAGGACACTGATTACAGCAGATCTACCAATCTGTAAAAAGAAAAGGTGTTTTACTCTAACTACAGACATATATTATCAGTGAAAACTTCTTGATGCTTTACCAGAATGAACTCCCTGAAATATGTACATTTCATGTGACTATTTGTCAATAGGAAGTCTTCAACACATAATACTCACATGTAATGCTAAGTATGTAACTCTGGAAAAAGGGCATTGACCGGTAATGTCAGATATCTCTCACCTGTCCAGCTATAACAGAGTTTGTAAGTCCAGACTAGACAACATTGTCCAGTATAGTATGATACAATAGTATGATATACCTGTCCCACTAAGTAAGTACGAAGCTTTGGAAAGTGAATGTTTTCCAATGTTATGTAATATCACTCAACTGTCTACCTATAATTTAGTTTGTAAATCTGGAGTTTGGACAACATTGTCCAATAATGTGCGATATTGCTTACCTGTCCCGCTTTTAAGTATGAAGCTTTGGACGGCATTGTCCAATATTTTGTGATATCACTCACCTGTCCTGCTAAGTAAGTACGAAGCTCTGGAGACTGGGCATTATCCAATATAGATCCAGGCAAAGCTATGGAAACAGTCTGTTGGACTCCTGAAATATTTAAGAGATAGTAGTAATTTCTTGTGTAACTTTACGGTGTTCATGTTGCAAGGAGATTTTTTCTGACAAGAGTGGTAATGAAAATTAAAAATATTTCATTGATTACATCTAGTCTCCTTATCATTACCAGGTACAGATCATTTAAAATCATCAGAACCTTTGACATTTCTGTTTTTCTTCAGTTCTCTGACTACAGTCAATATTCATAAATTTTATTGGCAAAATATTTTTGCTAAAATATGATTGTGCTTACTGCAGTTACTGTATTTTATCTATGTAACAATTTACGGTATTTTGGACATGCTGGCTCATCTTTGCATTATTTACCAAAAAGGCACTTAATTCACTATAATCTGATTGAGACATATTAAGTATCCTAACAGTATTTCATTACTCAAAAAGAAAGAGGTAATCTCATACCAACATACCCTAGAATATAAGTCAACATTTTCAGTAGAACTATTATTTATTTCAGAAAATATGATATTACAGGGTTTACACAAGACAGCAAAGTAAAGATATACCGGAGAGGTATATGTACCACAGAAACACCAACATTTGGACTCGAACCATTTACCTGTGAGCTCTAAACATGCTAAATCAATAAAGTGATCAGTGTATGAAATACTGGTAGTTCAGTCTATACACAAATCATCATACCTTATATGGAAATATGACAGCCCACATACTTAAGGTTAGAGAAGGAACCTAAATGATCTCAGGTGAAGAACAGACGTGTGAGGCTGGATGCTACCTGCCCATGGTTTATGTCCCCCAGGAAGCTGAGAAATAGACCTTGGACAAGACACTTTACCCTCGTTACTCAGGATGTGATGGGCCTCCCTGTTTAGTGAGGCAACCACCAGCTACTACAAAGAGATGGCCACTTCAAAATGCTGGCTGTTCATAGAGTATTAAACCCATCAAGCAAGCATCATGATATCCTACACAACTTTTAATGATAAGCAGTATGTAAGGAATTGAACTAATCCACTTTATACATACAATCTCCTACCCTCGACAGGTCAGAATACCCAACAAAACTTTTACTGTTAAATAATATATAGAAATAATTTAACTTATCCAGTTCATACAAAGTCTTCTACCCTAGACACATCTGAATACTGTGTACAACTTTCTAACAGTGTTCTGCTATTGGTACAGACATGCTATATGGAACAGTGATGACAGGTGATATCATTTGGGATACAAACTTGTGAAATAAACAGTTACATAACCTATAGTCACCTATGATTTTCCCACGGTGTTCCCATACCTACCTAATCTCTCTTTCACTTTCTCTTCTTCAATGGCTCTTGTCTTTTCTTCTTCTTCATTTTTCTTTCTTTCTTTTTCTTTCTCCAATTTTTTTATTAGTGCTTCTTCCTTCCATTTTCTTTTCTGTCGTTTTCCTTCAATTTTTAATATAATTTATATGACATGTGTTACAGTAACCACGGCAACAACAATTTCATTTTATAAGTTTTGCGTGGTATAAATCATTAGTCCTCTGTATATCTCTATTGTTTTGATTTCATCAGCTGCAACTACAATGTCTATATAAAAATACTAGGCACCGTCCTTCATACTCCAGAGTTACAATTACTTTTGCTTTCTGCACATCTGGAACATGTCATGGCAAAATTGAAGGAACAAATAATGTAATTTCATTGGTTCCAGAAGCAAAAATGACCAATCACAAGCTGATACGTTTCTTTTGAAGATTACAAAGGTGCGACAACAAATTCAAAGCAAGTACAATATACTGTTATGCAACCTTGAGATTCGCTTGATGTATATCAAAGATCAAACTGGTCTTCTCATCTTATCCACAAGGTCTCCCATGTTGAACCTTTAATTTCATCATGAAATATTTCAGAGGCGTAGAGAGCGAAAGTGATTGCAGCTCCTGGCTTATCATGGATGACTGGATGTAGGCATTGAGCCTATATATCGAGATTACAGTTAAAATGAATTATTATCCTGATTATGAAACAGTTCATTTAAGTCTATCTCATGATTATAAAAGCATTCAGGTTGACCCCAATAGGATTTTAACATATTGATTGTTGCTGTCAGAATGACGGCCTTTGGATGAAAGTTCTAGAGATTACCATCCTGCTCACAGAAGGATTATTTTCTCAAATTTTGTCTGCTTATTTTTAGTAATGACAGACGATGTCCTCTTATTATATTGTTGTTGTTTGGAATCAACAGTTTCTCCATGTATGAACTGGTGTCGCCCATTAGGTTTTTCATTATTTAAAATAAATCTAATTGTGTCAATTTCCATAAAACTAATTAAAGTAATTAATTTCAGCCAATTCATTATTCTGACATAATATTTCATTGATATTCCACTTACTCTCTTCTTTCCATTTCTTCCAATCCTTTGGCTGAAATGATATAAAGAGTAAAATGTTACTAAATAGCGAATGTATAAATGGACATTGAAAATATGAAATTTTAAAAATTGCCTGAAATTGAACAAATCTGCAAAAAAAACATTCATTTCATTGGCTTACATGAGTCTTTCTCGTCACATACTTTTTCGATCTGTATGAAAGAAATGTTACTGGAACTCGCCTGTTTGTTAACATCTGCTGAATACACGCATAGTAAGATTGGACTATATTGCAACATAGCGATACTTGTACAATAGCTTGTTCTATCATAAGTGGTAATTTAGCACCGTGAAATATTACTGGCTTTCTTATTCATATACAAACAATCTTCAAAAGTTCATCGAGAGATCATATCCATCCAAAATTCAAGACTTGACAGGAGGTTGATTGAAATGATTATCAAAATGTGCACAGAGGTCTCGTGTAAGAAACACACAAACCCCGTGTTCTGGTGTTGGCAAGTAGTGTTATCGTAATCAAACCACGAAGTAGCATTTATTATACATTAATCAACAATATCTTATTCGTATTTAGTCTAAGTAGTATGAATGCTTACATTAGATGGAATGTCCTTTTCGTATGACGATTTCTTATCGGATGCTTTAGGCATCTTCAGTTTCACGTGCTATGGTTTTCATAACAGGAAGTGCGTAACACTCTCAAAGTTAAGAATCGAATAACCGGAATAAATTATCCGGAATGGCGAAATTCACAGGTAACAGTCACAATTATTTTCTTATTAACATTGATGTTTCATTATGTGCACATTGTTAACAAATCATCCACAAAGAAAACAAATTAAGGACAAACAAATTTAGGAGAAAAAGTTAAAAATGGACATGATATAAAAATAATGTTTAAAAATAAATGTGAAAACACTCACATATCACTTGAGATAGACGTCTAATACAACAAAATCCTGGACAAGACAATTGTTGTAGCACAGACTCGTACAGATTTTAGATACATATACGATCCGCTAGCTTTTTGTCTCTCGTGTAGGCTGCAGGTGTAATCAGTATTGTGAAGTCACAAATAAATGACGTCACACGACAATAAGGCAATGAAATCGTGCCCAGGATGGTGAACTCTGTAGAATTTTGTGGATATCAGCTGGAACCCTTTCTTTGACATTTCTGAATTTTAGTAAATTGAAAAATAAAAACAAATATTAATTTAAGAAGTTACATTTTGCTTAACGTATTTTTGTAACAATTGTTAGAGAATCCCTATTATGGGATATTGTTGGAAATAATGACAGGTTGCCTATATATATAACAGGTAAATTGATTCCGAAGTGTTGTAGCTCATTGTATGTCGCAAACAGATTTGTTATCAGATGTCTTTAAATAGTATTGAGGACGTTTGTGATCCCTGCTGTACACTCAACGCCGGAAGTCCACTAATATTGGATCCTTTACATCATTATGGCCGAGATAAACAACAGCACAGACTCCGATAGTCAAATCATAAGTAACTTATTACATCCAACTTCTGAAATTTTACTATATTTTATTCAAAAATACGAACAAAAATATTAGTACATTGTCTAACAAGAAGTTATGACCACAAAGGGAGAACCTTTTCTACCTCCAGTGGAAGGTTATACCACCAGTGAAATCTGGTAATGTCTTTATAATTTATCAGATGGTCTAGTCCTATGTTTTATCACTGGTATTTTTTTCTCGATCATTGTCTCCTGAAGGTGGACAACTATATGACGCTGTTTAATTATTTGCTTGGCTCTACTGTATCTGACTAATTTCATTTCTGACTGAATTTTAACTATACACTCTGTGAGCAGTTTGCCTAGTTGATTTGATGTCCTTTGACCTAGATTCTGTGGATAAACCCTCATACATTTATCATGTCTCTGCAAGTAGGGTGTAAGAATGATCTGCCTCCCCATTTCCTGTAAGCGGCGGTTTAACTTGGGATCTGTAGAGTTTCTTGTTTAACTATCTCTCTATTCCTAATATCTCCTTCGACACTGCCGCATTTATATCCTTGTCTAGTTATACGTTCGCACATGCGAGGAAGGCTTGGGTTCTGTCCCCTCGTCGATACATACCAGAGTCTAGTGAGGAAGGCTTGGGTTCTGTCCCCTGGTCGAGACATACCAGAGTCTAGTGAGATAGGCTTGGGTTCTGTCCCCTGGTCGAGACATACCAGAGTCTAGTGAGGAAGGCTTGGGTTCTGTCCCCTGGTCGAGACATACCAGAGTCTAGTGAGGAAAGCTTGGGTTCTGTCCCCTGGTCGAGACATACCAGAGTCTAGTGAGGAAGGCTTGGGTTCTGTCCCCTGGTCGAGACATACCAGAGTCTAGTGAGGAAGGCTTGGGTTCTGTGCCCTGGTCGAGACATACCAGAGTCTAGTGAAGAAAGCTTGGGTTCATGGCATTTTCTAATACACTACCGATTCCAAAAATCTTTAAAATAACGTTTTCATGAAGTACCTATTGGTGTCAAACATATCTGCTTCAGAAAATAAGGAATCAATGTGATATAATCAATGTCATATTATTACGTTAAATTAACATTCAAATTGTTATGAAATTAAACTTTAGAGAAATACGAAGAACACCGGTTTACCATTGTAGTATAACATTGATTTGTTTTCTACTTTGAATGAAATCTTACTAAAAAGCTGTTTTCCATGATGCAGATGATAGTTTTGGTGAGGAGTAGGTAATTGTAACAAGTGTTACCTATTATTTGACAGTAAAGTTGGAGCTCAATCCTATTGGTGAAACTAGAGGAAGTTTGAAATAGGAGTTGCACAAAAAAATCATGATTGCGCAATCATTTAACAAAATGACCTCCCTGGCTGCCGTATCGAAGTTCTTGAAGTGGTTGAAAAATAACAACACTTTGTTGCTACCTTTCCCTAACATTACCACCAGTTTTAGCTCAATGGCAGCAATGGAACTGAAGAAGTTTAGAATATGTTTTTCAGGATGGGGACCACCTCGGATTTCAGACATGCCCAAAAATAACACTTTGTCAGGACCATCTCAGGATCATTTCATGCAAGTGTAAACTCAATCCCACTGGTCGAACATGAAAGAATTTTAAAATGTCAACAGTATAAATAATTAAAGTATCCAGATATGAGTCAGCTTACGTATACAGATATCAGGACACCAACAGAACAATCTTGATATCAGATCACCAACTCACGTACCCTGATATCAGATCACCAGCTTACGTACTTTGATATCAGATCACCAGCTTACGTACCCTGATATCAGATCACCAGCTTACGTACTTTGATATCAGATCACCAGCTTACGTACTCTGATATCAGTTCACCAGCTTACGTACTCTGATATCAGATCACCAGCTTACGTACTCTGATATCAGATCACCAGTCTACGTATCCTGATATCAGAGCACCAGATTACGTACTCTGATATCAGTTCACCAGCTTTCGTACCCGGATATCAGGTCACCAGCTTACGTATTCTGATATCAGTTCACCAGCTTACGTACCCTGATATCAGGTCACCAGTTTACGTATCCTGATATCAGGTCACCAGTTTACGTATCCTGATATCAGGACACCAACAGAACAACCTTGATATCAGATCACCAGCTTTCGTACTCTGATATCAGATCACCAGTCTACGTATCCTGATATCAGAGCACCAGATTACGTACTCTGATATCAGTTCACCAGCTTTCGTACCCGGATATCAGGTCACCAGCTTACGTATTCTGATATCAGTTCACCAGCTTACGTACCCTGATATCAGGTCACCAGTTTACGTATCCTGATATCAGGTCACCAGTTTACGTATCCTGATATCAGGACACCAACAGAACAACCTTGATATCAGATCACCAGCTTTCGTACTCTGATATCAGTTCACCAGTTTACGTATCCTGATATCAGGTCACCAGTTTACGTATCCTGATATCAGGACACCAACAGAACAACCTTGATATCAGATCATCAGCTAACGTACTCTGATATCAGTTCACCAGCTTACGTACTCTGATATCAGTTCACCAGCTTACGTCCTCTGATATTAGTTCACCAGCATACGTATCCTGATGTCAGATCACCATCTTACTTACCCTGATATCAGGTCACCAGCTTACGTATCCTGATATCAGGTCCCCAGTTTACGTATCCTGATACCAGGACACCAACAGAACAACCTTGATATCAGATCACCAGCTTACGTACTCTGATATCAGGTCACCATCTTACGTATCCTGATATCAGGTCACAAGCTTACGTACCCTTATGTCAGATCACCAGCTTACGTACCCTGATATCAGGTCACCAGTTTACGTACCCTAATATCAGGTCACAAGCTTACATACCCTGATATCAGTTTACCGGTTTACGTACCCTGATATCAGGACACCAACAGAATAACCTTGATATCAGGTCACGAGTTTACGTATCCCGATACCAGGACACCAACAGAACAACCTTGATATCAGATCACCAGCTTACTTACCCTGATATCAGATCACCAGTTTACGTATCCTGATATCAGGTCCCCAGTTTACGTATCCTGATACCAGGACACCAACAGAACAACCTTGATATCAGATCACCAGCTTACGTACTCTGATATCAGATCACCAGCTTATGTACCCTGATATCAGATCACCAGCTTACGTATCCTGATATCAGATCACCAGTTTACTTACCCTGATATCAGGTCACCATCTTACGTATCCTGATATCAGGTCACAAGCTTACGTACCCTTATGTCAGATCACCAGCGTACGTACCCTGATATCAGGTCACCAGTTTACGTATCCTGATATCAGGTCACCAGTTTACGTATCCTGATATCAGGACACCAACAGAACAACCTTGATATCAGATCACCAGCTTACGTACTCTGATATCAGATCACCAGCTTACGTACCCTGATATCAGATCACCATCTTACGTATCCTGATATCAGGTCACAAGCTTACGTACCCTTATGTCAGATCACCAGCTTACGTACCTTGATATCAGGTCACCAGTTTACGTACCCTGATATCAGGTCACCAGTTTACGTAGGCATATATCAGATTACCAGCTTACGTACTCTGATATCAGATCACCAGCTTACGTATCCTGATATCAGGTCACCAGCTTACGTATCCTGATATCAGGTCACAAGCTTACGTATCCTGATGTCAGATCATCAGCTTACGTATCCTGATATCAGGACACCAACAGAACAACCTTGATGTCAGGTCACCAGCTTACGTATCCTGATATCAGGACACCAACAGAACAACCTTGATGTCAGGTCACCAGCTTACGTACCCTGATGTCAGATCACCAGATTAGGTACCTTGATATCAGGCCACAAGCTTACGTATACGGATATAAGGTCACCAATTTAAGAACCTGGATATCAGGCCACCAGTTCACAACTCTGATATCAGGTCACCAGTTTATCTAACTCCAATATTAGGTCTCCAGTGTATATACCCCGATATCATGATAAAGTGTGTGCTGTTTCAGGAAATAATGTATCTTTACATAATAATGCAGATTGTCTTTCATTTCAACAAATGTGTTCACGGTATTTTAATAGCTAAACACAATGCAAAGCCCATTTAAAAATAAAGATGACATTTATTGCATTAATGTTTTCTA